AAGGTGAACAGTCAATGGCCATCATCTGAAGCAGTGGTTCCCAAAGTTGGCAACTTTAAGACTTGTGGACTTCAACTCCCAGAATTCTCCAGCCAACTCTGCTGGCTGGAGAATTCTGGGAGTTGAAGTCCACAAGTCTTGAAGTTGCCAAGTTTGGGAACCACTGATCTGAAGCCTTGTAGAAGCCTTGCTCTGTTGATGATAACGACAGCATTCAGTAGAGTATTTGAAAGTGTAAAACAGTTAAAAGCACAAAAGTGCAGGATTTGGGTAATTAGCTAAGGCAATATTGGCTTACATTTCAGTAGTGCTCAGTGCTCTTTTCAGGATGGCAACCTTGTTTTCATAGTGGATTAATAGTGCTCTGGGATTTTTAAACGATTGCCCTGCTGAAAAGGTCCTTTGGCAGGGAAGAAATCTAGACTGACCACCGGGTATTTTAGCATCTTTAGCTTCTGTGGGGATCGTATTTATCAAGCTGCAGAATGTTAATATATACATGGCTGCACATTTAAAAAAATGCTGCATATTTTCTGTCTATATTTCCCTGTTCCTTTTAAGCGTGCTGGGAGGCTATCTCCACCTCAGGGAATCCCGTGTTCCTTTAGGGACTCTTGACATATTTGATGAATTAGTAATGTCTCATGTTGTGCCCGGAAAAGGCCATTAAAGGCCAAAGGATTTGACATGCTCTACAGTCGAGACAATCGTCCTTTCTCTCTCTCTCTCTCTTTTTAACAGAATGGAAGTTCAGAAGATGGCAAGTCCATACTTTCCAGTAACCTCAGCAGGGGCGGAAGTCAAATGTCAGTTCCAGAACAATTTGTAGGTGGGTGAAATAGAATTTATTTTTCTGGAGGGAATGGCTAAATTCAGGAAAATAAAAATATTGAGGCTGTCTGATTCAGGATTCTCAGTTGTTATTGTCAGGTGTAGCTTTCCAGGATTCAAACATTTCTCACCTGTGACTTTTCCAATGTGTCTGCCAACAATTGGCTTCTCCTTCTTCTTCACCTTTTCAGCCTCATCACGTTGTGCTATTTGCAATTAGGGGTGGTAGATTTAAGGTCTGGATGGAGTTTCTTCTCTTCTGTTGCAGTCACAGCCTTGAAGGACGAGGCCTCTGTGCTGGGAATGCCAGCAGGAATCTTATCAGCCAGAATGGCAGCCAACCTCATTGAGAAGATCTCTATGGAATCGGATGAGACTACACTATTGGGTGCAGAACACAGAGTAAGGGGAAATGGCCCTTTTTCATGTATGGCAGGGTGGAGGGTGAAGCAGGTTCAAGTTGTCCAGGCCTTGCTAAAGAGGAGATGGTGGTCAGTGGTCCTGAAACAGCCACAGGGAATTCTAAGAATTGCAAGCTAGTAGGAGAAGATTGATTTATATGATGAAAGCAGTTTTACAGAAAGTCAACCTAAAAATACTTTAAGTACTCGTTTTAAAAGGATACTTAATTTTCCAAAGGAGGATTGCCATTCAGGATTTGAAGAATATACAAACATTTAGGATTGGCTCGTTGTTCAAAAATAATGCCAAGCCATATACATTGCCTACACTGCAAACTAGACCCCCTATGTCTTTGATTTTATTTTATTATTATATTTATATGCCGCCCTTTTCCCCCGAAGGAGAAATTTGTCTTATTCAACAAATTCAAAAAAAAAATATTACTAAGAGTTACCTACAGTATAAAAAGGTGAATTGTGGTCTGCAACCGACTAAGAATCTGATCAAATCACTCCATTGTATTTTATTCTTTCTATTTGCAGAAGAAGTTGTTCTGTTTGTTCCAGTCCTTGAAGGAATTATTAGCTTACAATGCTTTCTGCCATTCTGCTTTTGCTCAAGAAATATGGAAAACACAGGTAAGGTCAATAGAGCTGAGAGGGAGAGGGAAGCAGTGAATCCACACGCTTAAAAGAGCGTCCTAAGGGGCACCTCTCCCCCCCACCCCCAACATTGCAGTTTCTGAGTTGCTCTCTCCTTGGAGAGGGAAAGGCAGCCTTGGGAACTTACTCCCAGTTTCAGAGTTAGTTACTTGGATGGTTTTTGGGTGGAGGCAAGTAGTTGGGTTGCTGGCATCTGTGCATTCCAAATGACCTCAGCGCTATTTCCTCCAGCGCCCACCTATTTTGGAAGTCGCCTGGCACCTGCATAGAGAGAACATTGTTCGTTTGGAAGAATTACTGGAGAAGTAGGTAGAGCCTTGAACATTTGCCTGTGGCTTTGGCTTGAGGTGGCATCTGTTGGCATTTAGACTTTGTTTGTGGAAGCCCTTTTGAAGAGAGATGCGCATTGAGCAAGATTTGCGGTGATCTGTGGGGGAACAGCTGCTAGTTGGTTTAGATAACACCGAAGAAAGCTTCCACGGTTTATTCGGTGGAAACAATACCTGCTTTTGCAGGCCACGCTAAGCCAAGCGGAAGCCTGGTGTAAAATAACTTCCACTGTTCTGAACTTACAATTTTAGGCTTAGGAGTAAGTGGAGCATTTTGTCCTTTTAGCGCAGGGGTCTCCAAACTTGGCAGCTTTTAAGACTTGTGGACTTCAGCTACCAGAGTTGAAGGTATCCTCGTTGAGGCATTCTGGGAGCTGAAGTCCATAGGTTGGAGACGCCTCCTTTAGTGGAGTGTTTGGAAGGGAGAAATTTCTTTGGAAAAGGTAAAATGACGCGGGCTCTTCTGTCTTCTCAGGAATCTGGAGGTTCCTACACTGGTGGATTGGTTGTCGAGTAGCCTTCGCCTCCTGTGCCATCAGATGGAAGAAACGGACACTGAGATTGGCCAGAACATTCTCACAGGCAAGGCAGGGCCAAAACGAGGGACGTGGGAAGGCTGGGAAAAGGTCCAGGCCTGTGAATTGCCTTGTGGCTGTGGGTTCTGGCCCTGCTCCCTCTGTGCCCTCGAAGGAGGCGGGTAGTTGAGCTGAAGTCCTGTTGTGTAACATGAGACCTGGTTTCATGTCGCCTTAGTTTCATGTACTAGTAAACATTGGTGTGGCTTAGTCTTGTTTAACAAACGGCCAGACACCAAAACCATTATGCCGGGCAGTTTCCACCTCATTTGGCTTCTGACAGACTTTAGAATATGCTGAGGAGACCCACAGTTGTCAAAAATAAGGAAAAACGCACACATGGAAAGTCCTCTAGCAAAAGAGGGGAAGGAAAAACAGATGTGGAATATTGTAACAATGCAGTTACAGTTGTACGCATACTTGTCTAATGCAAATAGTCAAATACGTCTTCATTTCTAATACATTTATACAACTTTTTTAACCTATTCTGTATAAAGTCCCCTTTGTGTTTTGCTCCTTTTTGCCCTTTTTTTCTTAATAAAAAAACCATAAGTTACAAATAAAATAGAATGCTTTGTGTTTAGAATGATGATAGCAAAAGCCAAGGGGCAGGAAAATATGAGAAATGTTTAATTACTGAAAAATACTGGAGTTTTCGTGTCTGTGGCTGCTTCTTCCTTTCATTTTGCTTCATCAGTTAAGATCTATTAAAGCAAAAAGGGGGGGGGGCTCTGGACAGTATTTCACCATCTCTTGTCTGAGTCCCTTTTCCATCTTCCCTGCACCTTTTCTTGCCTCGTCCAGCTGGCCTAGGAGGTCTCTGACCTGGGCTTCCTTCTTAATCCCTAGACTTGGCTCTGGTGCTCCTTCAAAATGGATTTCCCAAAACACCCGAAACGCCTGAAAAGAAGCTGGAGATGAAGAGAGTTTCTGAAGTAAGGCTGGAGCAGATTTGTTCCCTAGAATTCCAGTCACCCCCATCCATCTCTCGGGGGGCTGGGAAACCCCCTGCCTCGCCTCCTGTGAGGGTCTTTCCAGGCACTGAGCAGCCGGGTTTGTGAGTTGCAGCCCCCACCCCTTGGTCAATGGGCCATGAGCAGCAGCAGCTGGAACAGCCAAGGCCTCCGCAGTTCTCGAAAGAAGCCTGG